TTAGCGTCCCTGTCCTACAGCCTCGCCAGCATCATTGCCTGCGAAAGCGCCACCAACACCAAGGAAGAAGCCAATTGGCATATCTATGAGTGATGCGCGGCAGCTCGACGCACACAGCGTGGAAGTCGTTGTTTCGAGAACCACCATCATTTGTGGGTTCATGCCTGACGACTCAATCCTCGAGATTCCAAAAGCGGTTGGATCTGATGAAAACACGGTGAAGGACCCGTATGTGGCGGATGGATGGGAGGCGCCCTGCATATTCTACCAGCGCGAAATAGGCACAGCAGAATTTGCCACTAGAGCAAGGGTCACGAGGTGGTTCAATCTAGATTTTTTCGAGAGAGACCCCGGCAAAATGAACGAAAACAGGCCCGACAGTGACACTGCTATATTTCACGTTGCAGAAGGCGTCGTGCCTAGCTGATGCGGACTTCTTGCGTCTCAAGGACACGCATCTCCCTGCGTCCAGCACTGAGGTTTCTGATCCGAAACCAGTCCGGCTATTGATTCAATTGTTGGATGATCGAAAAGGAGCGTCGGCGCAAATTCTGTGGCGAATCATTCGGTAAGCACGCTCGCAAACTCTGCGGCCGCGACCGAATCCATCCCAGCGGCCATTAGCGGCGAGTTCGTGGCAACGGTCGTGCCGAGCACATCAAACAGCAACGCTGAGATAGTCGCAGCCGTAGGGAAGGGCTCGGAGAACGGTCACTGTGCAATCTCGCAAAAAAATACATTTTGCCTGATTTCTTACCGTGGATTCGCCTCCCTACCGGCCTCCAACGAGGCTGCAATGGAACGCAACGATGGGCTGTCAAACAGCAGTGTCGACGGGAGCCGTGTTCGGAGCCGTTCACTGAGTTGTGTCGAGAGCTCCGTGGCTCCGACAGAGTCGAGACCAGCCGATATGAGTGGTACGTCAGACAAGACGGCGGTACCGCTGAGGTCGATCACGGTCTCCACGAGAAGACCTAAGACCTAGTTTGGAGATTGCAGCTAGATAATCCCGCGTTGCAGTGCAGGCCAAACGGATGGCGTTGTGGGCCCCACGCCTGTCTAGACAGTTAAAGAAGTACAAGGGGCACGGCGAATGCGCAAGCTTGTGGACTTTGGAGTCATGAATGGTATTGTCCATTACTATCTTCTTTGAGGACAATACCATAAGTATCTCCCCCTCAGATCTCTAGTCGTAAATCGCTCGAAAAGTGGATGCCATGACCACTCCCCTCTGGCTTTGCAAGTTGCATCCCAAGATTCATCCCTGCTAGCTAGACGGCCAAGTATAAGGTACGCGTGAAACTTAATGCGATTACTTAATCGCTTTGCTCGCTTTGCCTGAGGATCACCAAGAGCCTTATGCACACCCACAACCTCTGGATCATGAGGTCTTTGGAATAACTCGATCAAGTTGGGTCAAGGAACATATCTAGTGCTGCCTTTGTGTCATATAACAAAGATTTTTGATGCAGACCCGATCTTCAAAAAACTTTATCCGTCCCCGCTTTTGAAACGCGCAGTCACTCTGCATTCAAATGATCAAAATGCGACAATTAAATACAAGTGCATGGCTGGAAATGCGCAAGGGCCACATGGCACCAACGCATGCGCAGTAAGGGTCGGCTCTCGGGCTTTTGAGTAGATTTACGATCAACCCGTGTAAAAGAGTATTTCAGATCGCAATCCAACGCCAGATATTGCATCCCGGCTTTATGTCTCCCAATAAGGTCAGCGTTTCTGGCCATTGAAAGCACCAATGTGAATGGTGACCAGCTTTCTAGCAAAATTGCTGCCAGCCTCCAGATATCTTCAGTTTCTCCGAAGTTTTTGCGAATACGTGGAATGGCTACCCGCAACGTGAGTCACAAATATCCTCGAGTCTTCTTTCGTTGCGCTCTCTATCGCAAACGCTCCAGATGCCTGTCGTGAGTATCGCAGGGCGCATCAGGTCGAATCGGTCCCTGGGAGAAAGCCTGGGAGAAAGCATGGTCGTAAGAACTACACGGCAAGGAGAGCTTGTCTCGGTTCGGAGGTGGTTGAGGCTAGCTCGACATAGCCGACGCCTGGAAGCAGGGTACTACCTTCGATCATATGATCCGAGAAAGTGGCACTTTCTGAGGACAGCAAAAACCCCTCCGTGGTCTGGCTTTCCAAACCGTTTGCAGAGTCTACTAGAGTGATGTGCTGCATCAACACAGTACCTGGCATTCTGCGTCCGAAAGCCACACTGCAAGCACGGAAGCACGAGTGCACGAAAGGTGAGACAAATAACTCATTTGTTGAATTAAGTTTGTCTTGAACGAGCCCGTGTGCAATGGTCCCGCTAAAACCAAAAGAGCTCAGCCTTCCATGTGATAATCTGGACACCTCACGCAGCGCAGTTTCTGTCAGGACAAAGAACGAATGGTTTGGTAGCGCAGCAATCTAGGACAGGTGATCATTCAACCTGACACAAAGCCAAAGTGAACTTGAAATCTAGAGGCGCTCCAGAACCGAATCAACTGCGCGCTTGCAGAAGCGCTAATCATAGACAACGGAACCGCCATGAGAGACACCAGCCCTGCGATAGCTGCGCCGGCCTCCAGGTGACCCAGATGTGCTTTGAGGGAGGCGCCCAAGACTTCGCTTTTGGGGCACAACACCTTCATCGCCGCCCCTACCTAAGTTGGCGCATATCAATAGAAATTCGGACGTTGACGTGGAGACAACCTCGATGGGATCACCAAGAGCCGTTCCGGTGCCATGTGCTTCCAGAGCTATCTGACCTCCAGTGTTACTTTGCACGGAACATATCAATCAGCGCTAGGATGACCCATTTGGAGCGGTCAGGCTTGCGCTAGGCCCATCTTGTTGTACCGCAGTACTCGCGAGTTGCATACAACAATAATATTCCATGAGGCAACTGGCCGCACTTTCGCCGCGACAGTACCCGTCTGCTCAAATATCAAACGTGTGGCAGCGCCCCAGTGGTGACAACATGCCTGCCGCTGCAAAAGCAATGAATGCCATCTCCTCCAGGAGGCCGACTCCGGTAGAAAGCGCAGAGGAGCATTCCCGTTGTAATAGTCCTGATCGAGCGAGGTGCTTCGTGACGAGAGTCGAACAGCAAGCGGTATCGAGCGCAAGACACGGGCCGGTCAATCCCCGCATGAAAGAGATTCGACCGGAAGCTACTGATAGAAGAACTGCCGTGCCAGAATACACGGAGATGGGCTTTGCGGGCTAGCCGGGAGCGCCTTTAGTGGAGGTCGACGCTCCGATTCCCACGTACACGCCAACATCTTGAACGTGAGAAAGAACCTCAGTTGCTGATCCCAGCAGCATTAGCTACTATGGATCAACCACATTTACTTCGCTGCGAGAAAGTCCACCAGAATCAAGAGAAAATGACGTAAACGTACCATAACTAGCAGACGCGTTCAAAGTTTGTGCGCTCCACCGAGCTGACGGAACTCGGCGTTTTGCGTCATAACCTTGGATGACCAATTATGCCAACGCCCTAATAGCCCGAACCCGCAGAGGCAAATGAAGCGTTAGACGGCTTATTGTTACAACTCCATCGCTTTACTAGCTGAGTTCTCCGGGACGACGCCCGTGGGATTGTCCAATTGCATGAGTTTCACCATGACTCCGATGGCCGACTATGTGAGTTGCTATCGCGCGCAGCGTAGGATGATCAAAGGTGAGGGTTGCTGGAACATCAAGTCACATCGACTTCTGCAAGGACCGCCCGACCTTTAAAGCTCCAAGCGATGTCAATCCCTATTCCATGAGCGGGGTGTCTGCATCGACTACGGTTCCAACTACCGCGGAAATGCTCTCGGTAATTGCATCAAGCGACGCGTGCAATGCAGCAAAAGATCGCATTTCATCATGAGCCGCTCGAGAGGCACCAAAAGGCGAAACGATACCAACTTTCTGTGCATACGTCGCAGGCTTGATGGCTTAGATAGCTTTCCTAACAGAATCAATAGACTTCGGATTCCGCAACGAGCTAATATCACCCAAGTTCTATCCTAACACAATGTTCTGCACAATTCGTCGCATGTACTTTCCGGTCCTTGTTTCAGGAATCTCACTGATGACGACAAAGCGGGACGGCGTAGCGTGTTCGCCAATATCGGCGGCACAATTCTCCTGGAGTCGCTTTTAGTCAGACGAAGAAAAGTCTGCTTCGGCCATGAGCGTGATAAACGCCCAAGGGATCTACCCCGTGATTTCATCAAGAACTCCAACCACGATGCAGTTAGCTACTGGTGAATTTGGTCGCATTTTGTCGCGTAAAATACTGGCTTCAATCTACCCAGTGCCGACTCAATGCCCGTTCACATTTAATACATCGTCGGAGCGACCATGCATCGAAAATCGACCAGCTCCATGCGCAATGGCGACATCACCTTGAAAGAATACGAGCTGCGCAAATCGGTCGAAGTAGGTCCTCTTGAATCACCTCGCATCGCCGTTCCAATTCCTGTGCCCTATAGCTCAAGACTCTCCCCACATTGTCCTAGCCATGTAGGGCCATGGCGAAGTGATGACAGCTTCCCCCGTCTCTCCGTAGTTGCTGCGAGGTCAGTGCGAACTCTTTCATTCAAGATCGGCTGACTTCCAGACTTCAAATGAAATCCAAGGAAACTTGCACATTGTGGTATCTGAGGTCAAGCTTTCGCCAAAGGGACAACTCAAAACCATGCCTCCGTGCTCAGTGCCCCAGTATGAGTTGATGTAACGAGGCGTGATGTACTGCATCGCAAATTATTGCACAGTAGGAGAAGAAGGTTCGGCGCAGAAAGTTGCTACCTTCAGCATGGACATATCAAATTTGGTCAATTCTGAAGGGCCGAGCTTTTGCGACATGAGATATTTAAGGAACGCGACTCCAGCTTTCAGTATCGTGACGCTGTACCGCTCAAGGATGACCGCGAATCGAGCAACGTACGGTGAAACAGGGTTTGCGCATGTGACGACGCTGGTGATCTGGCTTGTGAGAGCACCTGCAAGCATATACGACTGTCCCGTGATCCAGCCAAACGAAGCAAGGACAAGCATCACGTCCGCGCCAGGTGTAGCATTAAAGCTCGATTACATCGTCATCATCAAACCGGCGATATAGTTGTGCGCGTGAACTATACCTTTCGGCTTCCCCGTGCTACCACTCGTATAGATAATAAACAAAGGAAAATTTCCTTCTAGCGGCGTCAGCGATTGTAAATCATAATTCATCTTTGAAGCACGCAAATCATGTTATGGTCATTCCACGGAAGCCAATAACGCTGTTGCGCAAATCGAGATGTCAGAAGCCTCGTCAGCCACCACCTGAAATCATGGAGGGGCCTAGGTTATGGCCTAGGTTATACATGTGAAAGTTTGAGCTGCATCAGGACTTGCAAGGTGTCAGTGGAGCACCTGTTCGATCACAGACGTAGAAACTGTAATGTAACCAGCGAGTGCTGCTTTTACGGCTTGAGAATCAGAGTCAGAGTGGCTGAGCTAGTTGAGGACCGTTTCCGCATCGAAGAATCGTGAGATGGCCTGACGAGCAATCGCGAGTCCCTCCGAACCACGGACAAACAGGGATTTTGCTCCAGTGTCGTGAAGACGATCTGCCAGCGATTGACAGGGAAGCCCTGCTGGCATGCAAGCGTAAACCACCCCAGATCGTTTAGCTGCTTCAATCCAAGTCATAGCCCTAAAATTGCTAGGAAGCGCAAGGATGATTCTATCGCCCAAATGGATGTCAATAGCCTTAAGCGCCTGTGCTGCGATCGACGCTTAAGAAAGAAGTTCTTGATAGGAATGTAGGCTGGCTAACTCGATGCGACCTTTCGCTTCTCCATCGCCAACAATGGCAGCACCGGCGCCGAAAGAATTCAGCACATGCCTGTCGACTTCATTGAATGCTGCATTGGTCGCCGCACCGGAAAACCAATGAAAAGGCGTTGACTGTTAGTTTGCGAGTTCCCAGGGCGTCCACGAATCCGTGGTCGATTATGGAATACCGTTAACTTTCCAACCCAAACCAGCGGATAGCCACGTCCAAGACACGGCTTCGAACCAGTGGATACGTGCCGCTACCTCCCTGACAGAGTCTGCGAAATCATTGTGAGCACTTTTGGGAGTAGGCCGGTCCCTGCATGGACGAGCGTCGTCGGAGGACTCTGAATCATTCAAGGCGAGCACCCCGACGGCGTGCATCATGGGCGGTGCTGGCTGGATCTCTCACGCTAGGCGAGACTTCGCCAGGGGGGCTAGAGGGGTACCTAGTAGAGAGATAGAGAGTTTTGTATCCCCCTAGTGGCTCGCTGGTACAGAGCCACTTAATATCCTTTCCCTTCCTTAATACCTATCAGTGCGTTGCCAGATTACCCTATTCCCCCAGCGTCATCCCCCAGGATACGAATCCCCCGCATCCTCCTCCTCCTTAACCTAGAAGATGGCAGCCGACTGGAACGCCCTTGATGCTAAAGGTAAGGAAGAATACGTTCAGCTTGCTGAAGATGATAAGGCTCGCTACACACGCGAATTGGAAGAATACAAGTAATACTTTATGTTTTCCGTTCATAAAACTTGAAATCCGTGCCCACCGCAGGTGGTTAGGTTCTGCCGAGAATCCGTTAAGGGAAACATTAACCTACCCTCCTAAATCCTACGATTTTATGTGACCTTTCCTCTATGGCTACACTTGTCCATCCGCTCGAACGAGCCTTCGACGAACGCGTCCACAGGCACGTCTGCTGCGGGCTCAAGTGACTGGCGGGCGCCGGGGGGGCGTGCCTCTGACCCTGACGGCGGCGTCGGCGCGGTGTCTAGGCCTGGCCGTGTCCGGCGTCGTTCGGATGGAAAACCGGACCCGTCCTGAGTATGGCGTGTCCGCGCGGGTTGCGAATCGAGAGGACTGCGACCGCGCGCCTGGCCTCAGAGCTAGATGCCAGCTCGGCTGCACGAGTTCATCGTTGCGGCTAGGCTCTGGCCGCGAACCGGCTTGGTGCCTTTAATCTCTCCTAATCTCAGAAATCCTAGAGCAAAGATGCCGAAGAAGGGGTCCCTGTCGTCCGGCGCCGCCCGACGGCAAGTCATTGAAGGAGGTCGCGGTCACTGTCACGCACCTGAAATGGTGTTGCGACCTTGGTCGCGCCCGAAGTCGCGGGCGCGGCCAGGGTCGCGCATAAGAATTCGAAGAAGCTCGAGCGGGCGGATGATAAGAAGCGCCGCACCGCAGCCAAGGAGCAGGGGGCAGCAGGAGAAGCAGGCCAAGGCGAAGGAGAAACTCAAGGCGAAGCGCGCCGTGGTCCGCGACGTGGTGAAGCCTGTGCTCAAGAAGCTCGACTCAACGGAGACGGCGATGGAGGAGTAGGCCTTGAAGAAGCTCAGCGTGCCCGAACTGAAGGCGTACATTCAGTACCAGTTCGGCCTGCGGACCTTCAAGTCCACGGAGAAGAAGGGCGAGCTCGTCGCGATGGCCTTGCCGCTCTGGGGCGAAGAATCGGAAATCGTCGAGTCGAGCTCGTCCGAGGAGGAGGAGGACGGCGCATCCCCCGGCAGCGCCAGCAAGGCTCAGAGGAACAAGAACACGCCGGCGAGCGCCGGGCTCGCGGCAAGAGCGACAGCCGTGCATGGGATCCTGCCGAAGCGTTTCTCGAGCCCGATTTGCCGTTGGACGATGAGGGAGACGAGGAGGAAGATGACGATGAAGAAGAAGGCGACGACGAAGAAGACGACGACGACGACGATGACGACGACGAGGAGGAAGACAATGTAGAGCTGTAGCTTCAGAGTCGCACACGGACGCGTCGACGGCGCCACGGGCCTTCGGAAGCACCTCCACCGACCGCGCCCGGCCCGACGCAGCGCACGACCATGAACCCTACGACCAACGCCACCGCCCATGGCCACCCTGCAGCACCACAACGACCCAACCTGGGTCGTGCGTGCAACTGGGGCTTTTCGGCCAGGTGGAGTGAGCCAAGACGGCGTTCAGATGCAACAAGAATTTTCCAAATCGGTGGCCATGGCGCCGAGATAGAGCTCTCCAAAGGCGCCCATCACCACTGCCGAAGCCCTCTTCGCCATCGATTTTCTCGATTTGATCTCCAGCCATTCGATCCGGGATCCTATCCTGGGAGCCACATATGGTGGTATGGTGGTTTTTAGATACAATCGAGGGACGATTCCTACTTCGATGGCCCAGGGAGGCGCTGGCATGACGACCAACGACGCAGTTGCGAACGATGGCCGCGCCCCATAAGCAAGCTCGCATGTTTCCACAAGAATCGCCTTGTGAATTTTTATCATCTCGGATGCATCCGACGTTGACACCTTGAAGAATGCGTTGGAGGCGTCTTTCGAAAAGGCTGAGATTCTTCTCCGACCGGCTTCATCAGATTCCGAATAATTGAATGCTGATTTTTAGTTGTTTAGAGACGCGAAGAATGTACTCTTTGGCGTCGGTGACTGAGGTGCCAGATTAGTGGCTCAAATCCTGGCATCCGATTCTGTGAACACGAATCGATTCTATTTTGCACGTACTTTCAAGATGTAGTAGTAATTTCATGCGGCTTTACCCGTCTGCAATGATCCAGCATAAGATCTATGAGACGCCATCTATTCTGAGATTTGCCCGGATGAACCTACACAACAAATCCGGAAACGCCTTCCAATAAAACGCCTTCCAATGAAAACAGCATTTGCAGTGATTGGGTGTGGTGTGTCTGGGCTTGTTCTTGCGCGCGGGGTCATTTGTGGTGGAAATTAGTGTGTAGTGCTGGAAAGGGCCGATGCAGTTGGTGGTGTGTGGTATGCGCAAGCCAACTTGTCATCGAGAGTTAACACATCGGAAGCGGCTTATCGTTTGGCAGAGAGGGCCGGAGCGATTAATTTTGATCACACTCCCACTTCTCAGATTATGGGTGATCTCGCGTTCTTGGCCTCGACTTACCTTGCGCAAAGGTCAAAGCTATCCGTCACTGTGACCGGTGTTCGTTCTATCAGGAAGCTGCAACACACACTCTATTACTCCAGTGATCGTAATAAAGCGACCATCGAAGCAAACAGCGTGCTTGTTGGCGTGAATTGACGTCTGGGAGCAACTCGCAAGTTGTGCTTCCCAAATGAAGACACATGGTTTGGGCGGGCGCATTACGGAGTCAGTAATGATTCGGAGGACATACACTTTCTCAATCTTGGCATTTTGATAGTCGGCGCGGGCGCCTTTGCTGCTGAAGCCACTCGTACCGCGCTTGAGCGCGGCGCGGGAAGAGTTTCACTGCTTTAGCGACGGCGTGGTGCTGTGAGTCCACTAATCGTGGACTATTTGAATTTTGTGAGGCCATACGATCAATATTTTGCGCATGCGACAAGGGGCTCGCAAGCAATCTTCGCCGCCTGGGACCGCACCTTTCGTCTGTGCTCAGCCATCCGACCAGAGTGCTGGCTGTAAGGGCGAATCTCGCCTGCTGGCCACACCATCTCCGTGTCAGACATATGGTTTGTGGGTCACTATTATGGTCTTCTCGCCACTCTTCTCGGCGAAATTCTAGGCGTGCGCAACTTCGACATTACCACCACAGCGGAAGAAGCCATCCGGTGTGATATTATTCTAAAGTGCACGGGGTACTGGAAGAACGAGGCCGTGAAAAAATTGCTTGGAAGTAGCTCAATATACCCGAATAACTCTGTACGGGACAATCTGATTTTCCAGGCAGAGGCGATCCTTGACGACCCGGGAGGGTTTCAGACGCCATTTGGATCAAGCTACGTCGAAGCTGCTGCGTTTAGCGTGCTCGTTTTTGCAAGTGATACTAAATATGATAACGTGTCAAAGCTGGATCTTGTGGATGCCCCGGTCTCTCAGATGACCTCCCAACTCATGCGCACGCTCAAAGCAAGCAGCGCGTTAGCCGCAGCGGCATACAGGCGCGTGATTCACCGCAGTTTGAATTACCACGAACGCTTCTTGCCCGAGCAGTTTCAAGCGGAAAACGCGCGCGAGTGGAAGCATCTCTCTGCTCTCTGTGAAACATGATTTAGTGACTAGCATCATGCGCAGCCGGTAAACCCGTTCATGGGACTCGCGGAGACCATGGCATCGGAGTGGCTTGATGATTCTCTTGAAATTGGCAATATTGCAAGCTTGGGCGGTGGGCCCACCGTTGAATGACTTGAGCGATGGGTACACACGACGATCCAGCAAGAGGGTCCTAAAAGAGCAGAGACCACGACAGGAACAAATCATGGGAACATCCTCGACGCCCTCGTGGCATCCGCTTTGCAGCTCATCGGTACCACACTCTAAAAAGACGATCCGGTGATGGCCGCCGGGTTGGACTCGCTGGCCGGGACCCAATTTATGCAATCCGTCTCCGAGCGATACTGCACCGAGTTTCCTTCGACGTTGGTCTTCGACCACCCGACACTCGAGAGCATTGCAGAGTTCTTGGCTCAATCGACGGCGCAGTCGCTATGTTCTTCGTCACCCGAGCGCTGCGTGGAGATGATTGTGGCATCTTCTTCGCCAGTATTGCTCGACCGCTTTTGCCTCTAGATGCCGGCAGCAATAGGCACTCTTCGAGGCCTGCAGACACTTCAATTCGCTGTGTTGACAACTCCGACTCATGTCCCTCGAGCTCGCTGGGACACAAACCAATCTTCGAACAACGTCTCTGCAGATTACGGCTCGTTCGTACTAGTCGGCATCCTTATCGATGATGGTCGTTCATTCAAGATGTCGCATCATGTAGTTCGTAACCAAGACCCCTAGAACATGCTCCTTCTATAATGCTCTCGGCCCTGCCTGGAGTCACGACCGAGCTTGCCTACAGGCATCGACGTGGCAGTTTACGTAGGAATGCTCACACAACCTGTGGAAGGCATTGTGCGTTCAAACTCTGAGTATGCGCCCACGTTCGCAAATGTGTCGTCCGGACTGGTCTCTTTTACCTTCGGGCTCAACGGCGCATGCCTTACGCTGGATACGGCGTGTTCCACCTAGCTAGTAGCTGTTCACTTAGCCTGAGCCGAACTCGGACAGCATCAGTGCGAGGATGCCTTGGCACTGGGCGTGGGCCTGCTGGGCCCCGCATGGAGTGCAGGGTTTGCCCAAAACGGAATGCTTTCCCTCCGAGGACGATGCCACACCTTCGACGTTCGCGGAGACGGATACGCGCGGGGCGAGAGCTGTGTAGCCGTTCTGCTGACACTGAGCTCCAGACAAGTACCGGAGGAATCTGTGATTGCAACGGCTGTGTAGTGCGACGGTCCCAGCGCAAGTCTCACTGCGCCAAATGGCTCGGCGTAACGCCGGTTGATTCAATCAGTGTAGTCATCAGACAATCCGATTGGATTGACAATTCCATTGGAGGCCCACGGGACCGGTACGGCCCTTGGGGACCCCATCGAAGTTGGCGCCGCCATCGGCAGCTTTCCTGAAGCGATGGCCATTGAGAGCTCGTCTCTCAAGGGAAACATGGGCCATTTGGAGTCTGCTGCGTCTGGGGGGGGAATCTTGTCGTCGTTTTCGACTTCGCTGGGGATCAGCTTGGCGGCACCCAATTGTCAGCTCCGTGTCTTCAATCCACACTTGGCTTCGCTTCTGAAGCGCGCTAACTTCTCGATGCCCGTGGAAGATTTAATTTTGATTCAGTAAGTGCCTCCGAATAGACCAGTTGCGCAGAGCTGAGTCAGCTCTTTTGGTGCGAGTGGCACGATAACTCACGGGTTGTTTGCTTTCGCCAAGGATTTTTTTGCATAAAGTGATGTTATCTGCATACCGACCACGTCGGATGCTTCAATATCTCTTCTGCGCTACTCCAGGATTCACCAGCTTGAGAATTTACCCATGCATCTACAGCTGAGTACATCACGCTAACAAGAGGTGGCCGAGATTATATCGGTCACGGCAGGCGTCTTATCGCCGTTCGCGTTCGAAACACTCAGCGATCACGTCGTTGGCGCGAACATTCTACTTCCTGGCGTAGGCTATCAAGAAATGGCCCTCGTTGTATATGCTTCGAAATCGGAACAATCGTACCTTTCAGGTGTGGTGATTGCGCGACCGTGCGTGCTCTCTCGCATGGATCAGGTTCTCTAATACACAACTTCTGCTGGAGGAGCATACGAAATACGCAGCTTGGCTTCGAATATCTCGGTGACTCATGTGACTGGCACGCACGTTGCAGGAATGAGAGAGCAACGAGCCGTGTCCGAGGCACGTCCCTTGTCTAGAGTGACGCGTGCTCCCTGGTCAAAAGACCCGCTCGTTGTCTGAGGTGGAACCTCGCAAGTTCACCAAGGGCCCGTAAACTAAATTTAAGAGACATTTGTCCCCGCGGCAATTGGCGTTGTTCTGCTTTCGTGAGAGCAAGGAGCCTATTCGTCGCTTGCAGCAGTTTAGACAACAGGACTGATATTCACGGCCTGAGAGAGCCGGGCACACTGCAACCTTTGATTTTCTGCTGGAGAATAGCTAGAACTCTCGTTCCGCCGTTTCACGTCGCGAGCCCTTCGGTCTTAGCCTCGGATTGGGTCAGCGTAGTCACGATCGAACACTCGGTAATTTATTGAGTGGAAATAGTCAAAGGGGATTTCTTATTTATTACATGATGTAAGTGTCAACTCTTGCGCCTGGGTCTAGCATGAACTAGTCAGACAAATTTTGAATTTGGAACACTATCGCCGGTAACCCGCATTTCTGGACTATTTAAGAGAGGTTGAGTCTCTGGAAAGCCCTTTTGATCCGAAAAACGCATGTGGCCACAAGTCAGAAATCTTGCGTGTTTTCTTGTGTTGCGTCCTAGTTTTACTGGGCACTCGTTACTGATTTGGCCTTTTTAACTCGTCGCCAGTATTTGCCTTGTCTCGTGTTAGTAAATAAGTGCAAAGGGTGGTATGATATGCCGCGCGAAGAGCTTTTCTAGTAACGGCGCGAATGCGTCAGCGTGACTAAAACTTGAAACCATGCAAAGGTCGCTCTTCTTCTAAAAGGTTGTCCTGAAACCCATGTGAGCTCACAAAAGATTATCGGAGTTTCCTCTCGATAGTAGAACTGCAAATTGTTCCAGTCAAGAGGATATTTCTGCTATCGAATTAAAAATTCCAGCAGAATGTGTGCGATCTCACTGCGCGAGCAGCACAGTAACCTCTCTGCGTGGATGCTGCTCAAGTAGACACACTCGTCATCATGGTCTCTGAAGCGATCGGAACGAAAGTCGACGTGAACGCGCCTTTGATGGCTGCTGGCTTCGATTCACTCTCTGCGAGTGATTTCGGTGGCAACCTGGGCATCCAGTTTAGTTCCGAGCTGCCATCGACCCTTTTGTTTGACCACCCCACTATAAAAACTCTCTCAAGTGTCCTTTCGCTAAATTCTTACGTTGAAGACTTGAATCCGAGCCTGTGAATACGGACCTAGCATGAGCCAGCTATGCCAACGGTGGGGAAAGGGCTCCCCCCATCAAACCAGGCAAACCAGACAAGCATCGCGATGGTGGTCTAATGACTAGTTTGTCAGCTTAACGGAACCGCTGCAACGCTAAATGCCCCACTGATGTCCGTTGGGCTTGATTCCTTGAGTGCGACCGAATTGGCACGCTAAATTGGCGAGCACTTCTGCGTGCCTGTCCCGTCTACACTCCTTTTCGATCATCCCAACATCGATACTCTAGCGTCCTACGTAGCAGAATCAGGCGCCCTTGAGGTGATGCCTGATGGCAGCGGCGTGCATCAAGCCGCTTCTGTCCGCAGCCAAGTTCGCTGTTAAAAATGTGACGCAAATTTGACATTGCATATATCAGGGGAATACATTATGCAGCTGCCGTGTCGTTCTCGCATCCGCTTGAGAACAATTCTTGCATGAGGTTTGAACGCAAAAATGACCTTGCCTATCATTCGCTGGGGCAACCTCACAGTTCACCAACACTCTGCGAAATACGGCGCTTATACTGACTCTCAATTGGTTATAGATGCAAGGGTTTTTGCCATTTCCAAAACTGAGTCAATTAGGATGGACCCTTAGATGATACTAATTCTCGAGGTAAGCTCTGCAGCAATTTGTGATGCGCTTCGAACGAGCTGCCGTGCGCATCTATTAAACCAACATGTTGGATTTTTTTTGGGAGCCAATGGTGGGCTTCCTGATGAAGCAGGCAGGCCTGGCCGGCCCAGAGATGTTTCAGTGTTCTCAGGCACGTCATTTTCGCTTGCGGTCGCTTGTGGATGATTGTCTTACGTGCTTGGTCTCACTGGCCCGAGTCTTGCGGTTGACACCGCCTGTTCGGCGTCTCTAGTTGCGTTACATATATGTGGTCTTTCGTTAGTCCTCGACAAGATACCACATGCTGCAGTTAGCGGAAGTCTGCTACTAGCTTCTATGGTGTCGATCATTTTCTCTGTAGCAGGAATGCTTTCTGCGCATGGTCGATGTCATACATTTGACGCTCGAGCAGACGGGTTCTGTCGCGGAGAAGGAGTTGCGACGTTTGTGATGGAGCCGCACGAGTCTTCTAATTGAGTTGCTGGCTCGAGCGTTCAGTAGGACGGTCCGAGTGCGAGTCTCACAGCGCCAAATGGTCTATCCCAAAGGCGCCTGATTGAAGCAGTCGGTGATGAGGGTGCAGATGGACGTGCTCTCGAAGCGCATGGCACGGGTACTGCGCTGGGTGATCCAATTGAGGTGTGACTGCTACAGAGAGACGATGACTACATGGGTGAATCTTTTAGGTCGGCTCTGCCATCTGAGCGCTGTGCACGGACTCAAAATTGATACAATGCGGTTCTTTGAAGTCGAATATGGGGCACTTGGAAGCATCGGCAGCTGTCGCAGGACTGGCCTCTCTCGTGCTCGTGCCTCTTGTCATGGGGGTGATTGCTGTGAATGCGCAGCTCTAGCAGTGTGTCGGACTCAAGCACGACATCCACTCAATTCCAGATGCGTTATAGGTTGAACACGCACCTTTCGTCGATCGTATTGCGACAAATCGAGTCCCCTGTCGAGCTTTCGGCCAAAAAGCAAATATAAAATTCATCAGTGGGTCGCCTGAGCTCGTTTGGCTTCAGTGGGACCATCGCGCACGGGACTTTTGCGGCTGTGGTGTGACGACGATCGTTGGACACTGCCAAATTGCCTTCCCTCTATCGTGCTCAATGACCAACTGGGTAGCGGCGATAAAGTCGATGGACTGCACAAGAAGACCCCGGCGTACCTCAGAGCTCGGAATCACTCGTTACTAGCGGCTCCCTGTTGCCCTTGACACAAGCCACCCTTTCGGATCATATAGTTGGAGGTAAAATCCTACTTCCGGGCGTCGGTTACGTCGAGCTGGCCTTGGGGTCACTCGAGCTCCGAAAATCACTTGCTGGTGTTCAATTTCTGCGGCCGTGTATATTATCAGAGCCTGGTTTGGGATGATGCGTCCTGTGATGCACGAGCCAGATTTCTGGAGCATTCGCGGTTGGTAGTGTGACAACAACGAGCTAAGAAACATTTTACAGTCACTGTGTGGGAAGCTCGCCGGGAGGCAACCACGACCTGAGTGCCAAAAACACCGGCTGTCTTGCGCAAGCACTTCACCATTTTACTGCAGGCACACGACGATCTACTGACTCTGCTTTCAACTCTCTGCACACCCGATCATCCAGAGCGATTTCGGAGGGCCGAGGGACCTCAAATGCGATCGAATATTCACCTTGAAAGCCAACCTTCTTGCTACGTGCAGGGTGGTAGAGCATGAGCATTTTTGTGCTGCGAAAAATGCCGCGTCCAAGTATTCGGCACAATTCATAACCGAGATTGTCACGGCCTCATCAGATGCCTGTGGCGAGCTCTTTCTAGATTCGACCTTGCAAACCTAGCGGTTCGAGCGTCACCTATCCGGAAAATACGCTTGCCTATTGACCGCTGCGCCTTATCAGTTCACATGGAGGATAGATGTGTGTGCGGACTTGGAGCGTCTCCACAACGGAAAAAATGCCCGGCTCATACACACATCGAAGGTGGAGAAGCCAGATGTCAATGCTTTTTCACAATGCTGTTTCAGAGAGCAAGCTTTACAGCTAGGTAACGTGCCTATGAAGACTTCAGCAGATACACTCACGAGCTTAAAAGCTAGCAATCAAAGCGTCCAAGGCAAAACATCGTGATCTGAAATGACAACACGACTCAGATAGATGTCTCGCAGCAGCATGGACCGGCCAGCGTCCTCACGTCTGATTCTTGGCGCAGTATCTTGTCAACTGCGTGTGGGGGGCCTGGTCAAGAGCGGCTGTGGAAGCCTCATATCACAGAAACGTTGCCGACTCACGTTGCCGACTGCTTCTCTCGTTCTGCCCAGGAGCTCGAAGAGCGCAGTTTACAGGACGCCACCTGTCCGTCCAATCGCACAAGAAACAATCAAGCAAACACATACCCCTCCGGCCTCGCTCCATGGTCTTCTCGACGAGCTTGTTGGCATCACGACCCAGCTCACCGGCACTGCCATCTTGCCCGACGCGCCGCTCATGTCGGCTGGGCTCGACTCCATCGGGGCCACGGAGCTCTCGACGCGACTCAACGAGCGCCTCGAAACGGAGCTACCGTCGACGCTACTTTTCGACCACCCGTCGCTTCGTTCCATTGCCGATTCATTGACGATAGAAGGCAGAGATGTGAGTACACGAGAGGGAAATTCATGAAGCGTGATGCGTCGAGCGGTAGCGCCTGAACCGCGAATGATATCTTGAGGTGCTTCTGTGGTAACAACCATCTCTGTATCGCTCATTGATGTGCTCGGCACAGCCTTGGCCACAAATTTGCCGCTGATGGCTGCCGGACTGGACTCGGTCGCAGCGACGGAGTTTGCAAATACCCTAGCAGAATGATTCACTATGGAATTGCCGTAGACGCTCCTATTCGACCACCCGACGATCGAGTCAGTAGCTGGGCTCATCTCAGAGACAGCCATCGACGGAGAGGGGATGTAGCTCGTCACTGATGCCTCCCTAATTATAATGCATCCGGCTGAAACAGCATCTCCAGAAGCACAGAGTGTCGCAGTGTCACTGTCGGGCTCATTCTCATTCAGTTTGCCAGGCTTTATGTCGACGAAGACTGGACTAGAGCACCTCATAACCCTTGGTTTAGTGACCAACTCTGGTGTGCCAGTCTGTCGCTGGTAGAGCAACGCCTCGTTTGTATCAGCAGCGTACGGGGCTTTCTCCAGCTTGTGGTCAGATGCGGCGGCGTTTGGAATCTCGAGGATACCACC